AAGATCCTCATATTCTAACCCTTCTTGCCAGCAAAATCGAGAATGCTCATAAAATTGTCTGGAAATGAATGGGTGAATAAAAAAGATTGAAACTATTTTTACTTGGTATGTAAGTTAAAGAGTATCTATACTTTCATTGCAATTATTCATTGCAATACAGTAATTTACTTACTTCATCTATTTAAAATATAGGGCCTACTGCTTAAAGTTACATTTCAATTTCTTAAACCACTACATTGGTTATGGTTTTATAGAGTAGAAAATGAGCAATGTCAATTGTTTTGATCGTCTCGTTTGAAGATGATACAGTACGGTGGCAGCGCCAGCAGGGCGTAAGCCCCCTCCCCCACACCGGACAGTTCAAGCCTCCCCCATTGGCCAAAGCTCGTCAGCCAGTCGGACTAAAAAATATATAAAAATAGGCCCACGCCAAGCCGAAACATGTCTGTCACAATCAGAGAGTGTCATTTCTGGCCATCCAGAGGTTCCTGTTCTTAAAAAAAATCTCATTTTGGAGGTGCAATACCCTCTCAAACCCTTCCCCAGCTCAGGCCTACCAGCCCAAGTCCCCCTGTCGGACAGCTCAGCCCCACCAGAAAATATATCCTTGAGCCGCCGCTGATACAGTACCTCTTTTTATCTTCTTTAATTTGAATGTGTAAGCACACTTTTCCAGATTTTTCTTTATCAGTGAATATTGCAATAAGTAATGTGTTTACATAACATACTATTCATTGAGCTAGTCAGACACAATTTTTGCATTTTCAAAACAGTAATTTAATGCTCATAAAAAATACAGTATTATAGTAAAAATGTCATCCATACAATGGAATACATTATACACTACAATGGCATGGGGAATACCATTAAATTCAAGTATCAAGGACACACATGATCCATTATTTCTGTTTGGTTACATTATTTTCCCAGAGAATGTTTTCCCTTAAATTAAATAGAATGGCATTAGATGGTAGTTCAGCCAGTATAATACAAATGAAAGAGGATGTTGATTTCACAACTAAACTTCAAAATGGACATAATTTAAATATTATGAGAAGAGGAAATATGGAGGTAAATTTCTCATCAAGGCACTTTATATCTACACTCAGGGCATAAAAAATGCACTATCAGATTTTAGTCTGTCAGACTTAATAACATTTGATCAGACAAAACAGTAAACATTTGATCAAACACTATCTTAAAGCCCTGTCCGAACTATCAAATTTTATTTGACAAAAACATGTGACATACCTAAATATGGTCATGATGACATCGCATTATGAACATATATGGGTTTATCACGACTGTAGTACGGTCATACAGTTTTTTTTTAACAACAGAAATCTGATAGTCTGGAGAGAGCTCAGGAGGTATTGTATAATACAACTTGAAAATTAGGTACCATAAATATTCCATTAACCCAGCTAACAATTTTATTTTCGAAGAACATTATAATAAAGTTTTGGTGATAAAAACGTTATTTTGTAGAACCATATGTATGTACTTATAACCTAATTTCACAACCTCACGTTTGAACGTTCTTGCAACGTTGTGTGAACGTTTTTTTGTGACATACTTAACCACAACGTTCGAGAATGTTATAAGAACATTTTGTGTTTGCTGGGAAGCACCTCTCTCAAATAAATGCCGATCTCAATTAAGTGCCGTGCACCAGACATTATTTTTTTTTAATAATCACCAAGATATATTTTAATAAATTTTCTAATCAAGATCGCATACTTAACACGCTTTTATGTTTCTTATAATTGAGTTACTATTAAAAGGCATATAAATAATATTCTAGTGATGCAACTAGGCATATGCACAATACATGGTACTGTACCATTTTAACACAATAACTTGTGAACCATACTCTTGAATAAACCTCCGATTTTGTTTGATAAGCACCAATGCACTTACTGCAACATTTATGCATGTACGGTTTGTCTGAAACGAATATCATTAGACTAAGTCTGATCAAACATTGTTAAAGCTCTTTCCATACTATCGATTTATGTCCTACTGTGATCTGTCCAAATGGATGCAATATGAGATCATAATGTCCATACAGTATATGTCCAAATCACAGATTCTTTTCTGAAAAAATTGACAGTGTATGGTCTAGTTTTATGATGTACCTGAGCTATTTCTAAGTAATATAATACCCTAGCTACCTGTTAACAAAAGGCATTTAGCTCATCAACGCATAGGAAAAGATGGACAATTAAACACATTTTATGTCAACACAATCGCCTTAAAAGCATGTAAATATTGACATTTTATTAAATTAAAGAAAACCCAATTCCAAAATGATAATGCAAATACACTGTAGCTGGCAATAAATCAAATACACTTGGCAATTTCATTAAAAAATCAGTATTCACAGTGTTGATTTCTCCCTGAGGAAAGTAAATATTCATGACTTGGATTAACTTTCTTAAACGATACCATATGTCATAGCCATGTACGAGACAATGCTACACCATTGACATGCAGGAGATCACACTAGGCCATCGACATAAATAGGAGACCATGCTACGCTATCAACATACAGAAGACCATTGATGGCTATCAACATACAGAAAACCACTCATAGGCCATTGACATACAGAGACCATGCTAGGCCAGGGACATATAGAAGAGCATATAATCAATCAACATACAAGAAGTACGGTAGGAAATCAAAATATAAAAGGCCATGCCAAAAAAAAAAAAAAAAAAATCAAATGATAAATTAGAGAAAACCCAAATTCATCTTTATTCTTGACAATTGTAAACATACTGACTTTATCCTATCAATTTCTGTAATGTAAATTAAACTTTATTAATCCAATAATAAATTACATGAAATATTTTGTAACCTTATTACACCTCGAAACACCCACTGACTGCAAATATAATACACATGCAACATAGACGACTAACAATGTAAGCAACAATGGGCCCTTCTGCTAGGCCGTCCGTTGGATACAGTTGCTAAAGTCTCGCATAACATAGCGTAACTATATGTAAACAAATGAGTTTGTGTGACAACACGTGTTTGTTGATGAAGGCAATTCAACAAAAGGATGCACATCTCCGCTCCCTAACATAGTGTGTGCGTACAGTCCTTGGATCTTTACCGTGGCATTGACAATCCGATACTAGCTGCGAGTACAGCCGTCAATTATTAGTCCATGCGTGCCATACGTTTAATGGTGTTGGTTACTATTTTATTGAGTTTGGGTACTTCGCAATGTCTGCTACAACTGATTTCTTTTGACCACAAACTTGTTAAATGCTTACATAAACTAAAATTTGATTCATGATCATTGATCAACATTTAACATTAAACTGTTTTAAAAAATGTTGGACTTAGTTGCACAAAACGAACATTTGAGTAGACACAGAAAATCTATTTACATACATGGCAACTAGCAGTGCATGGGTAATTTGTCACATGCTGACAGTTAATTATGGTTTGGTTGCTATGGTTTTTGAGACGCATCTACGTGTAGGGGAGCGGTGCGCGTAGAATGTCGACGCCAGAGTTATATCCTTTGATGTCCCGAATGTTAAATTGCCTTGGTTGGACACGCGCATATTCCTGGCTCTATTCTGATTGGTCAGTTGTAAAATTTGAGTGACACTCTGGGAAAGTCCACTCTGTCCTAAAACTGATGAACTGGTGCGGTATAAAAAAAATAATGCTGTGTCCACGCTATGTTTTATGTGACAAATATATGAGATTTGCCCATATATGGCATGTCATATTACACTCATAATTATGTGCAAATCACAGGTATAAATCATGTGAAACTTTATAGAGTAGACAGAACTTTAAAAAGTTGCAACATATTAGGCCAAATAAAAAAAATACTAGTTTCTTGTCCCCAACGCATCCATTTTCACTGCCTCGCCATTTTTTTTTTAATTCCATTATGTTACAAAATGTAAAAAAATCTGGCTAACTCATATCAGTAAAATTCCTCTCTCGATTGTTCGTGGTTGGGATACATATGGTATGAATCATGTCTAGTGCTTCTTTTATTTGCTTTCAATGTGTCTACTTGGTAAAAGTGAGAAAGTATTAGCTGTTTCCCATCGACCATCTTGGATTTGCCACCTCGGAGTTAAAAAAAAAAAAAAAAATGTGCCCTCATTATCCTTTGTTCAAAATATTATAACAAGAAACTATTTTTTCCTTTATTTGGCCTTATATCTGCTTGTATCATTGACACTGGTACACAAACATTCAAGTACTGGTAGAAATTGTTAATACTTATATATTCAGCACACACTAACAGTTTTCGATTGTATGGCTGTGAGGATTAATGCAATTGTCACATGATGTGTGTAACAACCTGTTTGAATCATGCAAACACATGCTGATGCTTGACTTGTCTATTAATTCCCTTAATAGAGCATCATACTTTATTGATAACTTAGAGCTGTATTCAATCAACTGTAGCCTTAAAATAGAAGATGAAGAAAATATGTTCCCCAAATTCAATCTATATATTTAATGTGTCGTGACAAAATGAGTAGCATAAAGCCCAACTCGGATGATGAAGGTCAATTGACATAAACAAACATTTAATACACAACATACACTAGGCACTAGGCATTGGAAATGGCATGGCCTTCGAAATAGTCCGATAATAGTGAACTGTAATACACAGTTTCAAGAATAATGTAAAGCCCTCTATTTTTGTGGCCCTATATTTTCACGATTTCCACAATAAAAACAATGGTCGAAAAATTAAAGGCACCCGAATATTATCGCAAAGATGTAGAACTGTTAAGGCCAACTCGGACAGCGTCAGCCGACGCAGCCCGACCCGATTTATCGTCGGGGACGGTCTTAAGCCATCGTGAGAAATATTACACACGTTTAATATTCTACTACGCGACTGCCCCAGACGCACACCATCGCGTCTGCGTTCAACTCACACAGACCCGACGCGACAACAAATCGGGCCGGGCTGTGTCGGCCGACGCTGTCTGAGTTGGCCTTTACATAATAGCTTCATAAAATTAACATGATTTAAAAAGCCACGCCAAATTGGAGTCCTATGTCGTGTGTGTTAAATGTTTATTTAATGTCGATTGACCTCAAATACTGCCATATGCAGTCCAAACTCTGAAGTGGCTTATTGCCTGCTTCTCAATTCTCTCTTTATCATTAGTTAGCAAGACAGAAGCTAGTGCTTGCCAGCTATGGCAACTACAATTTTGGGTTCAATACAACAAGCAGTAGTTCCAGCCTAGCTTAAATTCCAACTAACATGTATTTTCAAAATACAAGTAATACCTCTTTTTACAGTTTAATTTTTATTGCTTGTATTAACAACATTACAGTAGGAAACAACCTAAGGGTAACTGGGTCATATTCGTATCCATATGGCTCTGTCCAAACTATCAAATGTTCTTTGACAAAAAAACTGTTGAATGCCCATATATAGTCATGATGTGCCTATATATGGTCATGATGTTGTCATCATGACCATATTTAGGCATGTCACATGTTTTTATCAAATAAAATTAGTCTGGACAGGGCTTTAAAACCATAGGCATGGGATCATTATTAAGCTTGGCATACACTTTCAGATATTTGTCAGATAAATGTATGATCAGACTATGCTTGTTTCATTTTTTTTATACTATCAAGTTTTCTGTAACAATATCTGTGATTTGTCCATAATGAACACGATGATGTCATATCACACAGTTATCACACAAACATTACACACAAATATGTGCATATCACACTTTCTCGTGTAAACTTTGATAGTGTTGATAAAGGATTATAGAAATAGATCTGAAAGAGTATGTTTGGCTATACATCTTCCAGCTATGGTAACAACAGATATCAGGACCCAAGCAGTATAAACAATTTAAAGACGGGGAAGAAAAAAAAATGAGGCTAGTTTTGTGCGTCTCCACCACCGCCTGCTGCTGTCCCCATACGCTGCGGATCTTGTGAAGGATAGTGAACGCCTTGACGGGGAGGGGGAGGTAGACCAACTCCTGGGGGAGGTGGAGGAGGTGGGCCTCGCATTCGTGCAGGATGCCGTGGCGGTCCTCCATGATGAAATGGTGGCGGGCCTCTTGGTGGTGGTCCTCGAAAACCCATATCATGGTGATGCATTGGTGGAGGAGGTAGACCAGGGAAACCTGGAGATAAAAGTAAAACATATTTTTTTTTAAATCAATTAAATAACAAAATTTAATTAAAAATATTTCACATTAAAATCTGATTCTTTCATTTCATACAAAAAATATAAAGTGTTTTTAATATATCTGCAAAGAATCAGTGAGACACTGGGGGCGGCGTCAGAAATTCTCCAACGAGGGGTCCAAGCTCCCCGACAAGGGGCCCACCCCCAGGGGAAGCCTAGCCCCTCCCCAGTTCGAGGAAAAAATTATATTTGTCGGGGAATTTTTTTATTAAAAAATGTAAAATATTTGTGTCAATTATGGGACTCTCATTTAAAAAGGACAGTTTGATAGCAAACCATGCACTAAACAGTTTTTAATCCCTAAAATTTGACAGCTTAGTAAGGCATGCTTGATTTGTGCTTTCGGTGCTCAAGATTTGATTTTTTTTCAAAGACGAGCTTGCTGGAAATTCCCCGACAGGGGGTCAAAGGTCCCTGACAGAGGGTCCTTGTCCCCCCCCCCCCGGCCCCCCCCCACCCCCCCCCAGCGCCGCCCCTGGTGAGTTATAATGCACTTTTTAGCTTTTCCTGCAGAAGGCTTTTGCGGAAATATATGAAATGAATTAATAGAACATACCCCTCTGTTGTCCTTGTCCTGGGGGAATTCCTTGTGGTGGCATGCCTGGGGGCCTGCCTGGAGGTCTGTGTGGAGGTACTGGCGGAAGCATAGGAGGAGGCTGATTCAGATTGAAAAAGTTGTTGCTTTCTTCAGCAGATATTGGTGGCGGTGGCAGAGCTGTTGCATAAGAAAATTCAAATAATTAATAATAGTTTTCCAAAAATAGACATAAAATTTCTTATGAAAGCATTAAAAGGCAAATAAAGATTCAACACTAAAAATATACACATTAAAATACATATCTTATAAATATTTACGGTATATTTTATATTTTAATTCCTTTCATGAATGAACAGCATAAACACCAACAGGAAGAAATACACAGGACAAACATATAAACAAGATGGTGTTGTTTTTTTTTTAGAAAAAATCCTGTAACTTTGTGAAGAACTGAACCCAGGACTATTACATTGGAAAGCAAGCATCGTAACCACCAGACAATAGCTTCACTTACTTGCCTTTCAATACCACGATTCCGGGTTCAAATCAGATAAATTGTTCATGAGCCCATTAAGGAGAAATGGTCAGCATGGATGGCTCCTAAAGAGCAGCCTTGATATCCCATTAAGTATCATTTTTATGACATTGAGTTTTGATTTTCAATTCTCTTTTTGAATTCGCAACGCTTTTATCATACTTCTATGCTAGAATGCACACCCACTTGGGCATGCGTTGATGTTAAATAAATATCATTATGAAATTATTGGTGCATTCATAAAAAAATGCATTGCATTCCAGTATACAGTAATTGTTAATGGTGCATGGAATGGTATGCATTAATATTACTACTTAAATATGTTGAGAATAGTATTTGCTGTTCATGTCTTTCATGATGATGGTAACGTTATAACTTTTCAAAATTAAAAGTCACTGTCATATATATGTCCTATATATAGCATTCTTTGTTTTGAATCGTCGCTTTTGAAATCGGATTGACTTTCAAAGAGAAGCACTCTTCTTGTTGAAATTGATCGAAGAAAGCGGAATTGGACTTAACTTTCTACAGAACTGTAACAAGTTTCAAGTTTACCCAACAATTCGTCGCTCACATCACGAACTAACACAATCAAAGTAGATTGTGTTAGTTCGTGAAATCACAGTAGCGCGTCAAAACGTGCACGTATTGGTTGTCAAGCAATTTTGTATTCTTTACCACACAAAAGTCCTTAACAACAACAGTGCGTATTTGAACACGCTTTCTTGATTTCACAAACTAACACAATCTACTTTGATTGTGTTAGTTCGTGATTTGAGCGACGAATTGCCAGGCAATTTTACTAAACAGAAAAAAATGTAAGAAAAAAAAATTTTCAACAAATGCTATCTCTTTCTCTTTTTAGTCCACATCACAGTATTAAAACAAAAACAAAAAGACAGTAACTCCGAAAAGAGACAGACATTTTGAGATTCAACGTTTTGATCTATTTGATCATTTTCAAGAATACTGGTGAGAAAATCTCACCCATCCATATATGTTTACAATATTTACAGAAGTATAACAGAAAGCAAATAAAAACTGACCAATCAGATTAAAATCAAAGTTATAACTAGCCAATTAAAAATGAGGTAATTAAAAATTAGGTGTGTCTTATATTAAGTATATCACTAATATTATTGTGAATAAACAATGAATAATCAACAATTATTCAACAATAGTATAGAAGCCTGGGAACGCTGGCTGAATGAAAGTCTCATGACATGAAATAAACAATAAGATAATTCAGTGAAACAAAACATACTTTAAACAGTAGATAATGCTTTCAAGAAAAGTACATGTTACATAATTACAATTCAGAATTAAGTAAATAATGGAAGCTCCTTGGATGCTCTCAACCCAGTGTTTAAAATAGGCTTAAAACGCCTAATGGCCAAAGCCTCTATAAATAAAATTTGTGACCAATGTAGATAGCCATACAGAATTTTAGTATTATCAAATATTAAAGTTTGCTTAAATGATGAAGTATACTACATAAATGCTATATACTACATATAGCATTTTTATCTTGAGAAGCTTACCTCCAGGTAACCCAGGAACAGCCTCATACTGGACTTCATTATCTCCATCATCCTTTTTGCCCATAAGGCCTTGCTGGGCCTGAGACTTGCCCCATTTAATGTTAAGACGACGTCCTTTAATAATCAGCTTCTGGAATGACCGGTCGGCTGCTAACTCAGCCGCACTACGCGAGGTGAATTGTACAAACGCACATTGCTGTTTCTGGACCACGTTAATATTACGTATTTCACCAAATTGGTAGAAGTGGTCTCTGTAAGTGTAAGTAGATAAAATGCAAATGTTTTCAATTTTTTTTTTAAGGTAACATTTCATTTACATGTATTAATCCATCTTCATCACAATAATTTGCTGATCAATAATAACAGCATCAAGAAAAGGAATTATATTTATATAATTTAAAAATACATATTTAATATCAAAATTATTATCAATTAAAACTAAAAAAAAGGCAATATTAATTAAAATTATGATACAATTATTCACAAAATGAATCAAATTGTTTAATAACAATATTCATGAACTAGAGCAGTCCCCACATCGATTGTATACCTTTGCCCTGTACCAGGATATTGAACATACAATACGCAGGCCATGTATGGGTGATTCCATTATTTTTCTTTAATGCTAAAAAACATTGAATTTCTGTGACCTTGAACTTGTTTTATTTTTTCTTCCCAAAGGTTAATCATCAATTTAATTATCATGTACCATTCCACAATATTTTAAGATGAGGGACCGTGCCCTTTCCCCCACCGTCGGTCAAGGCAAAAAATTAAAAAGAGGGAGAAAAATTGGAGTAAAGAGAGGAAAACGAGAAAAGGGTAGTGCACCCATGAGTTCAGTGGCAATCCAGCAGTGGGAGAAAGGAGAGCTCGATTGTTTAACACTTGTTTACACCAACCATGGTGTGGAGGAGGTGGGATGTGATGATCCTCTGGGTGGGACACTGGTTATTGATATGCCGTAAAACTTTGAATAGAACGGGCTTAATCTCCAGAAGTATGGCTTAATCTCTAGAAGAAGCCCATCTCAAATTGAAGCCCCCTTCTTCAGTTTGCAAAAGTAGCCTGGGCTTTTTTTCGAGATATTATAACATACAATGCACATGAATTTCATAGAAACAAAACAAATAGTAATTTAGTGAATTAATGCCATTTAATACACTCCATGATTCATATTGTTCTATAGCAGTATTTCCAAAAATTTACAGCATTCATTTTGAAAAGAGGCCCCCACCACCTCCTTATTTTGCAAAAGTAACCTAGAAAAGAAGCCCATCCAAAGGTCTCAAAAAAGAAGCCCAGGGCTTCCACAGTATCCGAGGTGTTACGGTAGCTGGGTAGACAATGTAACATTAAAGTGCCTTGTTAAAAAAGCAAGCAAAAAGGACAGCAAAGGATTTGAACACCGATCTCAAGGTTGAGAAACCAAACCATTCCCACTGCGCAAAACCACTTCCACAAGATTATGTAAACTAACCTTAAATCCTTCTCTGCTACTTTATCGCCAAGGCCTCCAACATAGAGAGTAGTAACAAGCCTGTCTTCAGGCGCCTCTAGCTTGGGCATCTGGGACGCCCTCTTGAGGAGCTTATCAGCTACTGGATCGTTATTTCCATAGAAACGGTCCTTGATGTTTTGATCAGCAAGAGGATCGTCTGGGTCGGTAGGTTTGTCATGTCTAGAAATTGTACAACACAACAATTTAAATATTATGTTAATGACTTTAGACTGCAGGGTTATTTTTAACACAAAGGAAGCCATCCTCTAACAATTTTATTTGGCAACTATTTTTTTTCTACTCTACTCAAGAGTAAAAATTAAAATTGGTAATGATATTTGGTATTAGAGTGAAAAATGATGGAATGACATTGGTCTGCTCAGACACTGGAAATAATAAACAGGGAGCAAATGAACTGGCAAATTGTGTCTAACACATAAAGTTATAATAAAAACACTAGAGTGCCAACTCCAATGCATTCGATGTTTGAAATATGCAGAGCTGTGTGTGTACCATACAATATGGCTACCACAGATTTAGCCAATCATGAGTTAATAAGCATCGTCTTTAACTTAACGTTAAACTTTTGAATACAGCATCTATGTTGAAACTCGAGCATTGCGGTGTAACATACAAAATATCCAACACTCCACCTGGCCTCCTTTTGGCTAGGATAGTTTAATAATTCATTATCATAATTAATAATGAAATAATAGTTAGTCAGAGGTCTTATTTATAGTTATATGTATATTAAGCATGAAAGTGGCGCTTTCCTATGGCGGCCATCTTGGATGGCACACATACACAACTCTGCATTGCTTCGTTGCCTGTTCAGCCCTCTTGTTGATAAACAGCTCTTTGGTTTGATATACAATAAACAGAGTAACAATTTTGTTATACTGTAATTACTTCTTTATTGGCTTGACCTAATTCAAGGGTTCAGTGACAACCATAGACCTTCCAGTGCAAGAGAAAATTGTAAAAACACGTTTAAGGCATAACATTTATCATCTAAACTTAAAAAAGTGACATTCTTAAACACCATACACTTGTATTACAGGCTCCTTTATTTAAAAAAAATATATATATTTTTTCTGCAAAAAAAATTTCACCCCAATTTTTGTGATTTCTGGTAAGCCAGGTTTGTACAACACAGTGGCATTTTCGGCTAAAGATAAGTAAGTTTAGTACAATAATATTTTGCCTAGGCACAATATTTAAATAAAGCAAGGAAAACAAATTAAAAATTCAACAAAACAACAGTCAACAAGGTGTACCTGTATGGACACTCCTCCCCACGTTTACATTCTCCTTTGACCCAGAATGAACAGATATGAGGTCGATTACGCTTGTAGTAAGGTGTTGTTCTCGCTAATTTTAATAAGAGGTCGCTGGGGGCTTGGGCCTTACCAAGTGCTCCTGCTCCTTCAGAATTTGCAAGCTGTGTTCAAAGACAGACAAAGATAAAAAAAATAATTTACATAGTTATCATACACAACAATTCGTATAAAAAAATCTTAATCCAATCTATTTTTACTATTAGATAAAGGTGTTGATGTCTTTATCATTTACGTTAAGAGACATGGTGTAAATAATAAATGCATGATGACACATATTCCCAAAAAAAAAAAAAAAAAACAAAAAAAAAAAAAAAAGCAAATTACACTTGACAAAATAATCTATTCTATAAATCATTAAGTTTAAACACAAATAATTAGTTAACTGTTACACACTAGATGTCAATCATACTATGTATATTTAAATAGTATGTGTTATATAAAGTTGATATATGTACATAGTTTTTTCACATCATTAGTAAGATGTAGTTGTCAATAGGTAATATATAATTCATTAGTAATCAAATATTTATATGTAATTTGATCAACTTAAGCACATCAACTGTTCTATTCACTTCATTAATTTCAAAATTAGATGTATTTGATGAATAATATACTGTACTTCTTAAATATTCATCAATTATGAAGATCAGTTTTTTTTTTTCAATACTTTACACCTTCACATAGATTAATAAGTCATTTTTAAAATCATTCAACAACCTAATCTCATTCAAAAGGTAGGTATTCTTCGTAAAGTACTGGGGTCTTTAGACGGTCTAAACACTTAGCTGGCTATAATAATCGTGATGTCACTACTGGTCTATGATTATAGACCATTGCTATACTGCATTCTAACCAGCTGTCTTAAATTTACTCAGAGGAGGCTTAAAACAGTCATAAATCATCTTTATCATGGACTTAGAGGTACTAGACCTAGATTGTCAAAGACCGAGAATCGAATGACGAATATTCCGCAACATTCTCAAAACCGGTCTACGTTTATTTACGTTCATTTTAAAAAGTCAAAAAAAGAAAGCGTTACAAAGATAGAAGTTGACCGATTTAGTTATATAGCTGATATGGTTGTGCATACATCCTTCCAACAACAATTATAAACATTTTTATTTTTTCTTACTTGTTTTTCCATGTTTTGTGTGTAGAACTCCTTATTAACGTCTGATTTTGGCATATCATCCTTAATATTTAATGCTGCATCACGAACCTGAATTGGCAACCCTGTAAATTAACCAAGTAATCAATCAATCAATCAATACATTAATCAATCAACATATCAATCAATCAAATAATTCTAAAATGAATCAAGACATTTACTGAATACATAACCTTGGTTCCTGGTTCAATTCTATCAATTGCTCCCTTTTTTTACAGCTGGAGGGTTGGAAAGAAAATTCAATACAGTCCAAAGCCTCAATTACGGACCCTAATATTGATAATTACGAATTCCCAATCTTATAAACTTAGAAATCTTGATGATGACATCACTTTTCACTCTTCACTACTTTAGACCAAAAATGATAATATAGCCCCAAATGATGTTTTTCAAACACTAGATAGTATAAAATAATTATCAGCCAAAAATGTTTGTAATCTTTACTATATTAGACCTAGCCTGGGGCAGCTGGCCTTTACGATTCAAAATTTATTATAGAGTGCACACTTTAATCCAAAGGATTCAGATGGCATGGTTGTACAGCAGAAGGCCTACTGTAGACCTAATCCTTGTTGATTGGGGAATACCGGTATACAGTGATAATGTACAGTGATAAACATCTCCAGGCCCGTAAAGTACCATAGGTTATAGAGGGTTTCTTAACTGCAGTACTGTTTATGCATCCAATGACCAAGAAAACATGACTATTAAAGAGGGTTCACTTACCATATTCTAAATCCAAGAGACATGTTTGACAAACATTCTTAATTTTGCTGCATGTCTGACAAACCTCTGTTTTCTTGAATCTCATTCTGGCACCTGGACACCATCGGAATATTGTGAACGGCCTTTCACAAATTTTGCATTCCTTGCCAAATTTCTCCTTAATCTGGAATATACAACATCATGTTATTGTAGGATCCTGATGGCTTCTGTGATCTTTCTCTCTTCAAATAATGCCTCATATTCTTGGATACTTTATGATTAGCAAAAATATTAACGTTTGGTGCTGTTCAAGGAAGGTGCTGTTGGATCAATTACGATAATTTCAGTTCTTGTATCTTGTTGATACTTTATTGGTTCTAAATTTTGAAGATGTTTTGATTGATTTTCTTCTTAGTTTTGTTACAAATTAAGATGACCTCCTGTTACATCATGCTTTTTTCCAATTAAAACAAAATTAATTAAAAACAATAATTACTGTAAGCAATTCGAAAATTTTAATAAAAGTCACCTGATAATATTAAGCTACCATAAAATTTGGTCCAGGTTGGACCGCAAATTTTTAAAATTTGTGGAGTTAAATTTAGCTTTCACTTTTCCGTTTGGTGGTGGAACAGCAAGCAAATTATAATTACACGTTATTTTTCAATTACAGAATAAAGTGTCTTACAGTATGAAACAATGTACAAAAACTTACCATTCGAACATAAGGATTATCACCAAGGCACGTCTGACAAAGAATTGGAAAGTCCTACAATATAAGAAATCATAACCTTCAGTGATATTCAACAATATTAAACAAAATGTTTTTGTGGCATGTGGCAAAAGACAAGCCAAACCACTCAAAAATTGATTTTTAGTTATTAGTAAATCCTAAACAATAGGTCTGAAATGGGAGCTATAAAATGGTAAAAGAATCATTTAATGCAACATTTCCTTATGAAGTTATAAGCATTTAAACATATAGCTCTTCAAAGCAAAATACTTATCAGCCTTCAAAGTTTATATGATTTTGGCAATTTCTCATGCACAAACCATCATAAAATCCTTTTAAAGTGCTGCTTTAACATTGAAAATAAAGAAAATTTTAACAGCATAGCATGATGTATATATAAAGGTTAGTTTTTTGCAATAAAATAGATTTCAAAAATGTTGACATTCCAGCATATTTTGGCCATTATCTCTGAAACACGATTTGTGTAGAGTAATTGGTTTGGCTCGTCTTTACCACATATACTTCAATGGAATATATTTTATTATTTCTTTGAATATTTGAGTTATTTGCTTTTAATTAGAAATTTTAAAAACCATGTTTCTCTTGCCAATTGAACAACTATAAAATATTCTTAGGGTGTGAACCATTTCTTTTGTTTCCTAGGCCTAGGGCTCCAACTTTCCGGTTTAGGACCGGTTTGGTGAACAAGTTTGGCTGCGATGTATGGAATGCACTGTATTGTGTATGTTCTCTGTGAATTTGATTCACTATTAAATATCTGATAATTATAATATTAAAAATGTGTATTTAACTTAAGTAATAAAAATGCTGTGGGAAAGCAAACAACATGTTTTATTATAAGTCAATTAAAAAGGCCAATCATAACATACAAGAAATGACCATAATCTTAAGTTAACAAACTGACAAATTAAGTCTATTTATATACTGTGGCTAGACATATAGTACCGTATCTTAACTTGCGTTTCTGTACAGTAAATTGCATTATCCAATAAAATGCCGCCACCAGCGGGACAACATCGTTCAAAAATCCCTCGCCGTGAGTGTGCTTTCCTGCCAAGTTGTTATATTATGAGCTGTCATGACAAAATGAGTCTTGTGGTATGCCAGGACAACTTGATATATTCAAAAAAATATATCTGTAGCGGTATTTTGACGAAAATTGGGTTTCAAATTTCCTGATAAGTTTAATATATTTCATAGTAGCAAAATTTTTGAGTTGAGTTACCTAATGTAATCATGTTTTTGAGGCAAATTTTTTAAAGCTATTTTTCAAAAAAAATTGGAAAACCAACACAAAATGTATCACTTGTTTATCTTTAGAGGTGATTTTCTCTTTAAGTATGTTTTTAGGCATCTGAACTTAAAAATAGATCTTACTCTGGTTTTACTCAACCTAGGAACATGATTTAAACACCAAATAAAGCTTAAATATTCATCTATCTAAATATATCAATAACTCATTTTTCATTTTTCGTACCACAAAACTCATTTTGTCACGACAGCTCGCATATACAAAAGTCACAGAGCACAAAACAAGTTCATAATTGAACAACTCGCCAAAAATGAATACAGTAAATAAAATTAAAATGTGTGCCACAATTACAGAACAATTAATGGCCATCTTCTATCACATATTCCTCAATGACACATATTACAGGGAAATTGTTATAATTACCTAACACCTTTACTGTACAAATAACCAAGACTGTATACAATAACAATGTGTTAGCTTTCGTATGAGCATCTTCCATGCTATGAGAAAATATGGTATAATCACAGACCCACGCTCGACCTTACATCGTCAATATATTGCTGGTGAAAGAATGGTCGTACTTGTATTAATTTAATACTGTAGTATAATACGTATATTTTACATAAGAAAATTGCCGAATAAATTTCGTTTTAGCATTTGTTTTATCGTTACTGTATCTTTGGCATGGGAAATATCACTTTCGTAAAATCTACGATGGTATCATCACAGGCTGCTTCAGAACTGCCCATGCATGTCTATGCGCATGCCCAGAATGATCTATCAGGGGTTTTCCACACATATGTCAGTAGTGAAGTCACGATGCGATCGTGATCGCGTTTAAACGGAGGCTAGGATTAGGCCTACAATATGTTGAATTTTGTTGTTTTTAGATAATAAACAACATTTTAAATATGATAATACTGTAAAATGAAGACAAATGATAGATTTAGATAAGCATTACAATCTACGCGACCCACATGGCTTCAATTGGGCGATGTTGTAGGCCTTGGCTGGCTAGCGTCATTCCTACCTAGGCCTAGCCTACGAAACAACTAGGCAAGAAAGACAAGAGGATTGTCTGAGAAAATCGTATGTACTACATGCCTATTAGAAATCGTTTATTGTACAAACAAATCTGTTTTATGAAAAACCTATTTATTTGGTTTGACGATGTACATGAAATTTAGTGTCTGCTATAGCCTGTTTCTTATGAACAATGACGTCACACCGATTGCGGCATTTTATTGGATGATGAAATTTACCTTAACTTTAGCAAACGGATAATATACAGTACCGTATCCCTAGCCACCACGTTTTTCTGGGTGTTCAGCCTTAATAATGGCTGAGAACCAGTCCTGTCCCAAACAGGTTCGGGACAGAACTGATTCCTGGCCAAAATGGATGGCATTACTACCTACTGTACATATATAGGCCAGTACAGGTAGTACAGTTTTAGAGCTCCTACTATTGTATCTAGGAATAGGCCTATGTACTACTAGGCCTACAGTAGCACTGGAACTGCCTCAGCATACTAGCTGGCCGGGCATAATCAATAGGCTACACTGTACACAATTTGTTAGATTTATTCCTAACTAGGTAAACAAAGGGCCTAGGCTAGCTATAGGGGGCGCTGTTCTTCGGCGATACAAACCTCATGATAGAAAATAGTGCCCCGACGGAGATAGGATACCCTATGTATGAGTATTTCGCGGAAGGATATCACAATTTGGCCAAATTACTTCCAGACAACTCTTCAGAAATAAATTCCCAAACTAGGCTTGGCTCGTACGGGTTGAGGGCGCCCTCGTGAATTTTACCGCGGCTACACGCGGGGTAAATAATGTTTTTCCCACTGGCTACAGTGGTGTCTGAAGCCCTATGTCTATAATTAGGCCTAGATTTAGGAGATTTCAATATATTTGACGTAGAATCCATCAGTTGATAATAATTATGAAATCTAAAATAATTATATACCAAATTATAATCGTTAGTATTGTTTTTAGATGAATAATCAGAGTTAAAAAGCTTCTTTTTAAACACATTTTATAGTTTTGTAAGGGACATGTTTTTGTATATTAAAAGTGTTAAGTTTTAAGGCCAAAAAAAAAATATATACTTGTTTAGTGTCACACCCTCAGAAATTTTCAGGGGCGGGGGGGAAGATATTTTTTTTTTTTTTTTTTTTTTTTTGCTGACCTAGGCCTAGCCTAGGCCCTAATGTGTAGGCTTTTTAGGCCTAGAGATTTCAAAAACTGCATTGGTACCAAGCCAAATCTTTTACAACAGACACTAAATTTTACATAAAAGATTTATTTGTACAACATTTATTTTAATAAGCACTGTGGTTCCGTAGGCATCTGCTGCAGTGCTAGGCTAGGCTTAGGTCAGGTAGGCCTAGCCATACTTATTACTAGCTAGGGGTCTAGACCTAGTTAGGTAGTACTTAGGCTAGGCCTAAAACATCTGCCAATTGAAGCGTAGGTCGTAACCTATTATTTTTCTTCATAGTACTTTATTATCATATTTAAAACATTGTTTATTATCTAAAGAGGCAGCTAGAAAATCAGGGTCGGGCGGTGACGCTAAAAAACAAGTATTTTTTTATTTTGGCCTTAAAACTTAACACCAGCAAAAAACGTACTTAATATTGTAATATCTCCGCTAATACTGGTCAGATTTACATAATTTTTGCTGCTTCATTTAGTTATGTCTTTCTTTTAAAAATAATTTTAAAATAATGTGAGACATTTCTAATTTTTATGTTTCTAGGCTAGCTACCTAGGGCTAAACCTAGGCCTAGTCTACTCTAGGGTATGACCTAGGCTAGGCCAGGATATCACAATCACTGATGACTGAATTTCAAAATTGACCATCATACACATCACACGGCCTAGCCTAGGCTAGCTAGCCTTTTCCAGTGCCAGTGGCTTGCACTGCAGTGCTAGCACACTACCACGCACGCACGGCTAGGCCAAGGAAAGAGATAGCCCCTGAATAGAGAGCCTGGCCTAGCTAGACTTTAATCTCGAATTATTCAATTCAGTAAATATCTTCAGGTCACAAATTTGAATTAATTATAGACATGAATATGTTCTGTAAACATATGTTAAAGATTAAAAGTAAAATAAATCAGAAACTATACTTACAGCATCTTCCCAACCTTGCCGATTGTAAGTATTCGCTCCCTTGCTTGTCGCCATCTTGAATTCAAATGGTTGCCAGGCAAAAAATGTAAACATACCCAATTGAGATCGCATATGATTGTCAACTAAAACCAAGTTTTGCCATGAAGTTACCTCTGAATATATTTTCTCCAATTGCCTGGACCTATTACTACCTGTTTTTCATCCATTCAGCTGTGTTTGGTAAATATCAAATCTTTTTTTGTATGGCGACCCGGTGTTAAATTCGACACACATTTTTTGGAAAAAGTTGACATACAAGGAAAAGTCATACACATAGGCCTAATGAGGAATTATTAAATAATAAATAAGAAAGGGAAATGAACAGAAAGATAAGGCAATATAAGAAAGGAAAGGAAAAGACAATAATGTCGCCGCCACCTTCTGATCCTTAGGGTTCCCAGAGATGATCAGAAAGTGAATGGGTATGCAAAATTAAATTAAATAAATTGCCAGAACTAGGACTATGCACAGAAGAAATAATATTATAGTATCATATTATTGAACAGTGGAATTCACTACCTAGTGAAATAATTAATGCCTCAACATTAAATGAATTTAAATCCAAGCTGGAAAAGTATTTTAAACCTCACTCTGCAAGACTACAAGCACCCTAATCCTCACTCTGCGAAGTATCAAGCCCTCTGTAGTAATAGTTATAGTACGGTCAAATAAGCGGAAGCGGCTTTAGAAGACTCGAATTCATCAAGTAAGTAATAAACACTGATGAATTGTGATATAAAAATTTAATAGGCCTAAGTAATAATTAATAAATAACAATAAATATACCGTAAAATGTATGTAGCGGAGCATGCGTGACTTCTAACAACGTTGATCTGCCGTGTCTCCGCTATTACTCTGAATTGTATATATATTAAATCGCATAAATATTGGAAATTTATTTGGCCATATTGTTGAAGATCATGTCGGATCCACAAGAAATCAGAAAATCGAAGAGGAATGAAGGTAAATCAAAGCCTCAAAAAACAACTGACGAATTTTCAAGCGCTAGCCAGGACGACATTCAATAGCTTCACGTCAATGAAGGTGGATAGGATTTTATCCACATTGGAATTGACTCGACTAGCCTGGAATCGAAATATATGGATCTAAATCTTGAAGTAAAATCGCAAAGACAAGATGTTAATGAGCTAAAGGAAGCATTAACTTACCTTGAAAAGGAAAATGAGACTAATGCTAGTAGTCTTTGTGACAAAGCCAATCATGATCGTTCTTAAAAGCTTGAAAACACAATCGAAGATCTTCAGTAGGCGAAATAACATCGTTTTGCATAATATCCCAGTTGGTGCTGAAGATGATTTAACGTGTGAAGAATTTGTATCATCATTTTTAATCAACCATTGCATTTGAAAGGAGCTAGTGATGACAGGCCTATTGAAATTGAAAGGGCCATAGGCCTATATGGCTGGACGCAAGATTGTACCAACTGACTCCACCTCGCTAGGCCTAAAGAAGAAGACGCGCCCGATTTATTGCAAGTTACTACGCTTTGGGGACAAACAATTAATTTTACGTGATGCATCAAAATTTCTGAAAAATAGCCCTTTCAAAGGCTCTCAAATCATTTATTAGCGATGATGTGACTGAAAGGGTGCGCAGCTGGAATGCTATTTAATCCGTTAAATGATTTTGCTAATGATAAATATGATGATACTTTTGATATTTTGATCAATAACCTGAATTCGAGCATCTACACTGGATCAATGCAAATATTTAGATTTTCAAACACTTAATTCTAATTTTGATTCCTCTTTGAACAATAAATTATCTATGGCATTTAAATATTAGAAGTTTTACAAAGAAAGTTGATTCATTACAACGCCGTTTAAATTCAATTGACCTGAATCCTTCGATTATTGGAATTCCTGAAACCCATGGCTCTCTGACAATTCACAGACACCTTTCCTTCATAACTATAAATTCTTTTCGAGTAGCAAACATGGTAATCAAGGATATGGAGGTGTTTCTTTATTTTGTCGTAATGATATTAAAATATGCCATTTCCCTTCCTGCTAATTTATGCGAATCTCTCTTTATTGAAATCATTAATTCAAATTTAAAAAAAAAATGTAATTACTGGCATTGTATATCGTCCTCCATGTGGTCAATTAGATTCTTTTACTAACATTTCTGATGAAGTTCTCAATCAAATTGATAGTGAGAACAAACACTGCCACATTATGGTGGATTTCAATATCGATTTACTCAATTTTCATGAACATAGGCCTAATTCAATTAATTCTTACCTTAATACTATTTTATCTCATTCTTTTTACCCTACAATTTCGAAACCAACAAGAATAACTCCAGCTAGTGCTTCGCTTATTGATCATTTTTATTCGAACCAAATAAATTCTAAAATCAAATCTGGAATTATAATCGACGACATCTCAGACCATCTTCCGATATTGCAGATTATTGATGGTGATACATATACCACCACAATAAACTGTCTCTTATACACACCTAGATGTGTATAAGAGACAGGTTTTTCATCCATTCAGCTGTGTTTGGTGGGGTCAGATTTCCCCGACGAAACCAAAGTGGGTGTGGTCGAGCTTCGATTAAAAGGCTTCGAGAGTTGACAGTTTAGGGGTTTCAAAGGCTTATTTAATCGATTTTAGAGTCTACTAATATGTAGAAAATACATATAATTTTTTTTCTCCCCGACAAATTGAGCTTTTTTTCCCCGACGGGGGGAGGGGAGCTCTCCCCGACGGGGGGCACTTTCCCCCTGCTGGCGCCACCCCTGAACATATTACTGCTCAATTCTTTCGTATTAAAGATATTAATGCCTTCCGCAATGATTTACGGTACTAAACGAAAATTGGTGTGAGGTGTATGAGTCTGATCCTAAAGTAACTTTCGATTGTTTTTTAAGTAAATTTTATAACATCCATGTTAAATATCTTGTGTCCATTAAGTTTAAATAAAAAAAAAACGCTTCAGACAACCATGGATGTCTGACTCTCTTTTGAAATGTAGTACACGTAAGCACAAGCTTTATAAAAAATATTTACATTCAAGTGACCCAATTCATAAAATTAATTATAAAAATTATAATAATGTTTTTAACCAATTATGTCGCACTGCCAAAAAGAATTATTATTTTTCAAAATTCCATCAATGCAAAGGTAACTTAAAAAACACATGGTGTATTATAAATTCTGTCATCAATCCTCGAAAAAAAATAATCCAAAGTTGATCAAATTAGACAATAAAATTATTGTCAATGATCATGACATATGTGATTCTTTCAATAAGTATTTTTCATCAATCGGTACCAACATTTTTGATTCATTATCTTCTTCAAATATAGATCCATTATCTTATTTACAGCCTTCCTTTAACAACTCTTTCTTTATAAATCCCGTTACTGTACATGAAGTTAGCCAAATTATTTTAAATTTAAATTCTTCCAAAGGATGTGGTAACGATAATGTCTCATCACATGTTATCAAATGCGTTTCCCATCATATTATTCACCATCTTACTTACGCTATCAGTGCATCTTTTACATCAGGTTCTTTCCCAGAATATTTGAAAATTTCGAAAGTTATTCCTATTTTTAAGAAAGGGGACAATGATCAATTATCAAATTATAGACCCATTTCATTGCTTTCTGTTCTTTTCTAAAACCATTGAAAAATAATATATTCCAGACATTATGATTATCTAACACAATTTAATTTATTAAATAAACATCAATATGGTTTGGTTCAATATGGAACTTACTGATAATGTTACTAAATCTTTCGAAAAAAAGAAATGTATGTTAAGCCTATTTATTGATTTGTCGAAGGCATTTGATGTTATTGATCATGGTATCCTAATATGCAAACTTCATAATTTTGGAATCAGAGGTGTAACACTCGACTGGTTCAAAAGTTATCTTTTCAATAGGAAACAATTTGTTTCAATGGATTCTTCCAAATCATCGACGAGGGATATTACCTGTGGTGTGCTACAGGGCTCAATGAGGGCCATTACTATTCTTAATTTATGTTAATGATTTAAATAATGTTAGTGACACACTGCAGGTAATATCTTTCGCCGATGGTACCATTCTTTTTTATTCTAATCAAAATATGGATGTATTATGTAATACTATAACAGTGAATTAATTAAATTTGGTGACTGGTTCGCTTCAAACAAACTTTGTATAAACACCCAAAATCTAATTATATTATTTTTCATTCTACTAAAAAAATTAATTTTAATAATTATAAAATTTTTCTTAATAACAATTAATATATATACTTATTAAAGTCAATTATCAGTAAATTTCAGTCAATTGTTAATATTCTTCCTACACATCCGTTCATAATATTAACTTTATATTTCTTAATCTCTAACGCTTCTATTATTCGTCGGACATAGGGCAAATTAATGTTAGGGTGCAAGATCTCCCAAGAAATATTTCTAAGAATAGGTCTTTTATTGTGCGTTGCAGATGCGTATATACTGTTTGCAAGCTTACATGTTCTTTTATTCTGGACACAATGGTTCTGCCAGTTTCACCAGTGTATATTATATCGCAATGGGAACATGTTATCTTGTATACAGTGTTCTTGGTTAAGCATAGATTGGTCTTCACAGCACAGGCACATGTATCATATTTCTTAGGGCACCCCTGTTTTTCTTTAGGGGCCGTGAATAGTGAACGCCCATTCATATAATGTACTCTGATATTATGTAACCCTGTCCGCTTAATTATTGCTTGTGCTTGTTGTTTAAGTTCTTCATTAATAAATGGTAATGGTAGTTTCAGATAGATTGTATCTTGATCTTGATTAACCGAACGTGAGCTGTTCTTATCCATAGTACGTTTAATGGCGGAATAGACAAACGCTTTAGGATACCCGTTCCTCATAAACATCTGTGTGACACGTTTAAGAGAATTTAAACGCAATTTGTGGTCAGTAGATCTGGTTATCGCGCGATTAATCTCTATGAGTATTCCTCTCTTTTGTGATATAGGGCCATGACTATCCCACGATGTAATACACTGACTATGAATGGGCTTCGTATATAGAGT